TAGACACAAACCATAACAGCTATAATTTGTGTAAGTAAAGAATAAATGCTGATTTAGGCTTGGAGATTAGAAGAGCTGTGTATAGTAGATGTTTCCATCTTAATAATTTATCCTTAAGGGAGTTTGCAACAGCATTAGATATTTTCTATTGCTTCTGATTCCTTTTCCAGAAGCAGTGTTTTGCGTATCATCTTTATGGTTGACTAAATTTAGTAATTAAATCAGAAGAAAGCTATCTTATCTCCGGTACTGAGGGGAAGGGATGAGGAAAAACATTGTCATTAGGGAGGTGTGAGGGTGGAGACTTAGAGGAGTGCGTTAAGGCCTGTTGTTAGGTCTTCATTTTATTGTTTTCTGTATTTTCATGTTGTGGTACTCAAGAAGCATTTGCCCAACTAATGAATAAATGTAAGGCCAGACTGCTGGAAAGCTAGCAGAATTAAGTGCAGGTTTCCACAGTTGCCTGTCCTGGTTCCATTGCAATTAGACCTAGAAGTTTTTCTTCAAAGCAATCAGTGGAAATGTTTCCCTGTGAGAAAACTTCCATGCTGTCATGACTGGGCTCTTGGTCTTTTGTAGACTCATCCCATGTGGAATCCTGGGAACCCCTGCTGTGTCAAGTGAACCTCAGCCTGGTAGGGATAACCTGGCAGGGTCATTAAAGGCTGGTTTCTGGAGTGAAGTGTGTTTGGTTTCAAATCTTGATTCTGTATTAAATTAGAGAAGTTACTTAACTTCCTAGTCACCCCATTTCCTCATCTGTAAAACATGTAATATTACCTGTCTCGTATCATTTCAGAAGGTTAAATAAGTTTCCTTTAATAACAACACATTTACCGAATATGATTTAACAGTCCTTCAAAACACCGTGTGTGTGTGTGTGTGTGTGTGTGTGTGTGTGTGTGTGTGCGCGCGCGCGCGCGCGCGCTAAGAGAGAAACCCTGACTCTCCGTGGTGAAGTGTCAGAGCTCAACAGTTCATCCTACAGTCAGCTTGTGAGGGGTGAAGACACTTGCCCTAGGTAATATTAGTCATGTCTGTGCTATGGCCTGTTAGTTTTTTGGAAATTACCCCAAATTCTACCCCAATTCAGCTTTAAGCTGGTCTCAGAAAGCCGTCCTAGCAACTCAGAGAGCAAAAAGCTCCAGGGCCAGGCAAGTAGCGCAGGGGCGAGGTCCTCCGGCGTTGGTGGGGGCGTGGCTCAGGGGCTTGCGTCACCCAGACTGTCCAATCAGAAGTGTCTTCGTCACCACGTTAGTTCCCGTCTGGGGAGGCCGCGGAAATTTGAAATGGCGGACTGGCAGCGGGTCGGTGGAGATCTAGATACCGAGGCGATGGAGTCGGGGCGCCCTGAGCGGGTGGCCGAGGAGGAACCGGCGCCTCTGGAGAGAGGTGAGCACTTGCCTCAGCGGGCAGTCAGTCTTTGTGGCGGCCCGGAGCATTGGGGAAGGACGCTGGGGCTCAGGCCTCCCGGACTCGCTTGACAGGGTGGCAGGAAGGTTGTGTCAGGCCAGATGTTAGAATCGCGAGGCACCCAGGGGACCCCCTCCTCCGCCACCCTCAACGGCCTCAGCTTCCCCGAGTGAGCCAAGACTACCTGGACGCGTCAGAGGGAACTTGGTGCTTATCTGTTGAGTGAAGGCTCTTTTCTTTTCGGTCTTTTTAAGACAGGGTCTCGCTGTGCAGCGCAGGATGGTCTTGAGCTCGCCTTGTAGCCCAGGCTGGTGTCGAACTGGCAACGATCTCCTGCCTCTGCCTCTCGAGTGCTGGGATTACAGGCGTGTGTCACCACGCCCAGTGTTGGAGGCTCTTTTCAAATGAACGTCAAAGGAGATTGAGGACCACTGTTCTGAACACCGAAGACAGATAACTCGGGACAGAATCTAGAAATAGAACGCAGATCTGATTCTCAGTTCTTAGCTCTTCATGGAGATTCCATTATCGACATCATTTTGTGGTGCACCACTGAGCCACATCCCCAGGCCCCCATTACTTTTTTGTTTTTGAGACAGGGTCACACTATGTAGTTGAGGTTGGCCTTAAACTCCCTAAGTAGTCCAGACTTGTCTTACACTCTGCCTCAGGCTTCACCCTTCCGTACTGGGATTAGAGACCTGCGACCACTACTCCCAGCAAAATACCATTTCTTTAACAAGTGTGCTATATAATAGGTACTGTTGTAAATGATTAAGACTTGATGTAAGCCTTTTAATTGAAGTAGGCATACTGTCTTTATTTTCCCTTTATAGACAAGGAAATGTCAATGAGAGATTGCCAGAGTTATTGAAGCCCTCTCAGGCTTTTTTTTTTTCCTTCCTTTTTTTGAATTATTGTCTATAGTTTTTTTTTTTGTTTTTTTTTTTGAATCACTGTCTCTGTATAGTTCAGGCTACCTCAGTTTCCACTCCTCCTGGCTCAGGCTGGGATCATAGGTGTGCTTCATCAAACTAAACAAGTGTGAGTTTGTTTTCCTTTTTTGCATCTCTCTAAGGTCTACTTTGGGGTTAAGTAATTCTGACAGCCTGAATAGAGGCAAAGAACTGAAAGGAAAAATGAAAGGGGCATGAGAGTGAAAGACTGTTGTGAACAACAGCCTCTTTACCTTCCTTGAAATCACCTTTGGAAACTACTCGGCCAGGTTAAATTCTACCCTTGCCATCTTTATCAATAGTCACTCTGTCTACTAAATAACCTTTTTACACAGAATTTGATATGCTCCTGGCCAAGTCATGCCTCATGAAACAGTTACATACAACCCAAACCTAAGGTGATGTACACTTGATTTTTCTTCGTTTAAAAGAAGTCATCAAAACTAGGTGGAACCTAGTAAGTTTAGTGCTAAAAACTTATGTATTGTTAATCTCTCATCTCTATTTATCATCAGGCTGTTGACAGAGTCATTCTAAAGAGAGGAGGTGTCTACTTGTGAGAGAGATTATTGGAAATCAGCTTTTATTTTTAAATTTTACTTTAAAGAGAAAAGAACAAAAATAAAATAACAATAACAAAGACAAAGCAAAACAGCATAAAAACAATAAAGATGATACATAATTTCAAAACAAGATGATAGGAAATTCAGATCAGGGAGATAGCCCAGTAGAATAAGATGATAGGAAATTGACAATGGTTGTTGTATTACATATTGTTATCTTTAAAGTAGTTACTCAGAATACCAGATATAGGCATGCACAATAGTTCCCTCTTTTAATATAGCTTGGTGGAGTTGCTTGGGGGGAAAATTAAGATATTTGATCATTATAACTTACTAACTAGTAAAAATAAAAGTCATAACTGTATCCTTTGAAGGAAAACTTTAAAAATTGAATCATTTTGTGTTTCCCACCCTCCCCCAAAAAATCACAGAACAAAAACTTAAGTGGTGAACATCTTAAACTCTTAACTGTTTGAAGTTCAGTCTGGCCTATAGGTATTTTTAAGTTGTGGAATTTTTGAGACAGGGCCTCAAGATGCAGTTCAGGCTGGCTTCAAACTTACAGCTATCCTGCCTCACCTCAGCCTCCTGATTGCTGGGATCACAGGTGTGTGCCACCATGCCCAGTGTTGCTGTTTTTTCATATAGGGTCTTGCTGTAGTTCAGGCAGGTCTTGAACTCACTATTGTAGCCAGGTTGCCCTTGATCTCTCAGCAGTCCTCCCATCTCAGGCTTCTGAGTGCTGGGATCATAGCCATGTGCCTTGCTTGTATTTTTTAAGTT